CATTACATTGAAGATTAGGATTTCAACATATTACTGGTGGTGGTGGTGGTGGTGGGGGTGCGTATACAACATTCAGTCCATAATATTAACTGCTTTTCCTCAGCAATTACTGTGAGACTAACACTGTGAATCATACAACTTACTGGGCTTCCCATTTTGTGTGAGTTTGTTTGTTTTTGACACAGAGTCTGGTTCTGTCACGCAGGCTGGAGTGCAGTGGTGCCATCTTGGATCAATGCAAACTCTGCCTCCCCGGTTCAAGGAATTATCCGCCTGAGTCTCCTGAGTAGCTGGGACTACAGGCATGAGCCACCACGCCCAGGTAATTTTTGGGGAGTATTTTTAGTAGAGACAGGGTTCCACCATCTTGGCCACGCTGGTCTCCAGCTCCTGACCTCAAGTGATCTGCCCACTCCGGTCTCCCAAAGTGCTGGGATTACAGGTGTGAGCCCCTGCGCCCGGCCATTTTGTGTGAGTTTGGTGACAAATGTTTAGCTCACTCGGTGCAAATGTATGTCTTTAAGATTTCCATTTAAGGCAGGGTGTGGTGGCTCACGCCTGTAATTCCACCACTTCGGGAGGCTGAGGTGGGTGGATCACCTTAGGTCAGGAGTTCAAGACCAGCCTGGCCAACATAGCAGAACCCTGTCTCTACTAAAAAAAAAAAAAAAAACATGGCTGGGTGTGGTGGCTCACGCCTGTAGTCTTAGCACTTTGGGAGGCAGATGCAGGTGGATCACGAGGTCAAGAGATCGAGACCATCCTGGCCAACATGGTGAAACCCCATCTCTGCTAAAAATACAAAAATTAGCTGGGTGTGGTGGCACCCATCTGTAGTCCCAGCTACTTGAGAGGCTGAGGCAGGAGAATCGCTTGAACCCAGGCGGCAGAGGTTTCAGTAAGCTGAGAATGCGTCACTGCACTCCAGCCTGGTGACAGGGCAAGACTCGATCTCAAAAAAATAAATAAATAAATAAATTACTCAGGCATGGTGGCATGGCCTGTAATCCCTGCTACTTGGGAGGCTGAAACAGGAGAATCTCTTGAACCAGGGAGGCAGAGGTTGTGGTGAGCTGAGCTTGCACCACTGCATTCCAGTCTGGGCAACAGAGTGACTGTGTGTCAAAAAAAAAAAGAAAAAATACATACAATTTGTTTGATATCAGCTTCATTCTTGGCTTTTTTTTTTTTTTTTTTTTTTGAGATGGAGTTTCACTCTTGTTGCCTAAGCTGGAGTGCAAAGGTGCAATCTCGGCTCACTGCAACCTCCGCCTCCCAGGTTCAGGCGATTCTCCTGCCTTAGCCTCCTCAGTAGCTGGGATTACAGATGCGTGCCACCATGCCGGGCTAATCTTTTGTATTTTTAGTAGAAACGGGGTTTCACCATGTTAGCCGGGCTGGTCTCGAACTCCTGACCTCAGGTGATCCACCCGCCTCAGCCTTCCAAAGTGCTGGGACTACAGGCGTGGGCCACTGCGCCTGGCCTCTTGGCTCTATTTTAATCATTATCTTTCTCAGGTTAACTCTCTAATGTCCATCATCCTTAATCTATTTTTTTATAAGAACATTTCATTATTATTCAACAATTTGGAAGCATAAAACCACATAGTGGAGTAGCCATTTCACTTCTCTTACTTACTGATCTATACTCGAGCAAGTTTGTCCAACGGGCCACATGCGGTCCAGGACGGCTTTGAATGTGGCCCAACACAAATTCATAAACCTTCCTAAAGACTTTTTTTGTAATTTTTTAAAGCTCGTCAGCTATCGTTAGTGTATTTTATGTGTGGGCCAACACAATTCTTCCAATGTAGCCCAAGGAAGCCAAAAGATTGGATACCCGTTCTAGATGATTTCTATAGCTCACACCTTACTTTCGGAGAACAATTTTTTCAGAAAGAGCCATTGATGCTTCAGCCTTATTAAAACCAAACAAAAACTCACTATAACGACAGTGACAGGCAACACTGTATTATAGGTTTTCCTAACAAAACCTGTAATACTACTTTCAGACCAGAAGACCAACTTTTCTGTGGAACTATAGAGAAAATTCCTTATTTTTATCATTATCTCTAAAACAGAAACCGCGATAATGACAGTGGTCTCTAATAGAGAAAATAGTGGAGTTGATAAACATTGAATTAAATCATTTTTCCTTCTCCAATTCCAGTCCTATTCAATTATTTTCTGATTCCTCAACTGTTAAGATAAGCCTAGACAGGCCAGGTACCACGGCTCACGCCTGTAATCCCAGCACTTTGGGAGGCCAAGATGGGCAGATCACTTAAGGCCAGGAGTTCAAGACGAGCCTGGCCAACATGATGAAACCCCGTCTCTACTGAAAATACAAAAATTGGCCCAGCTCATGCCTGTAATCCCAGCTACTCAGGTGGCTTATGCACGAGAACCACTTGAACCAGGGGAGGCAGAGGATGCAATGAGCTGAGACTGTACTACTGCACTCCAGCTTGGGTGACAGAGCGAGATCCTATCTCAAAGTAAAAAATACAAGCATACAAAATGTCAAAAAACCACCACACAAAACTACTCCACCCACCTGTAACAAAACAGGTCACTTTATACCTGGCTCAGACCAGATTTTTGCTGTTGGCTAAAGAATGCTTTATGGATCAAAGGGCAGGTTGAGACTGCCTACTAATGTTCATTCCTTCCAAGCATCTTACCATAAACATCTGCCAAGGTTATGATGAGCATGTCACTAGGTTGCATTTTATTAGTTGTTGCCAACAGCTCTTACTTCTGATGGAAAAGAAGTTAACAACAACAAAAAAACCTCAGTATACTCCAACTTATGCTTTTTCTATGCTTTTATCACCAAATGATAGTACATCCATATATAACTCTAAATACTTGTTTTATAGTCTATACACTTGCTAGTTAATATGTATTATAAGCCACAGTCTGTTCAGAATTACTTGGATAAAATGCTGTCACCTACGAACCTTCATCTGATTAATATGGAGGTTGTAATCACTGTCTCAATGGTTTCTGGTTCATGAAACTTCTCATGCTTTCTATTTTCTTACTCCTGTGCTGGCTGGCTGACAGCCAAGTCCCCTGCCTCTGCCACTGCCTCAACCCATAAGCACGCTACAGTGCAGCCCAACCTTTTTTGGTCTTGCCGATCCAAGAGCAGCGCAAACCAGTTGAATCCAACTTTATCACAGTCACAGCAGGCAGGAAATTTCAAGGATCGTTAAGTTTAAGATTTGCCAACCTAAGATCAAGTTATAGGTTTTAAAGTGATTTCATTATTGCAGAAGGATAGCTTGGCTGCTGAGTGTGATTTTCCTATGTTCACATGTACCCCATGGGATTCTAAAACAGAAAATCAAATTGGAACATAAATGATCCCTTGCCAGTTCTCCAAATGTCAGGCTTGTGGCAAAATAGGAGAAAGAGGCAGTGTCATTTTCAAATCATGTAACTAGAATCTGATTCATAATCAACATCTTCCCTATTTTTCTTTGGTCCTTCAGTCTATTATTAGTTATTACCTTCTTTCCCACAGACAAATGGAAAATTCACACGTTTCTACTTGACATATATGCTGCAATCTTCCTTTCACACTGACACACACACTATGGTTTTCATGAGAAGAGGTGGCAAACAGGTGAACATCTGAGAATGTAGCTTCCAAAAATGCTGTTTTGGGCCAGGTTCAGTGGCTCACACCTGTAATCCCAGCATTTTGGGAGGCCAAGGCAGGCAGATCACGAGGTCAGGAGTTTGAGACCAGTCTGGCCAACATAGTGAAACCCCATCTCTACTAAAAACACAAAAAAACAAAACAAAAAAAAAATTAGCTGGGCATGGTGGGGAGTGCCTGTAATCCCAGCTACTTGGAAGACTGAGGCAGGAGAACCGCTTGAACCCAGGAGGTGGAGGCGGCAGTGAGCCGAGATTGCAGCCTTGTACTCCAGCCCGGGTGACAGTGTGAGGCTCAAAAAAAAAAAAAAAGAATTTTTTTACTTGACTGGATATGTTGGTGTGGAAAGTAAAAATAATGCAACGGTGGGAAAAGTAATGGTATCTTATTTATTTATTCAGAGAGAGTCTCACTGTCACCCATGCTGGAGTGCAGTTGTACAACTCAGCTCACTACAAACTCCATTTCTCCAGTTCAAGCAATTCTCTTGCCTCAGCCTCCTAAGTAGCTAGGAGTACAGGCACCCGCCACCATGCCCGGCTTATTTTTGTAATTTTAGTAGAGAGAGGGGTTTCACTATTTGGTCAGGCTGGTCATGAACTCCTGGCCTTAAGTGACCCACCTGCCTTGGCCTCCCGAAGTGCTGGGACTACAGGTGTGAGCCACTGTGCCCGGCCAGTATATTTTAAAATTATAAAGCTGATATATTACAAAGTAAAATACAGGGGAAAAAAAGAGTCACAAGAAGTATAAAGATTAGATGCTTTTTGTGCTTCTTTTTGTAAAATATAGATGATCCTCAAGAAGTAACTTGAGCAGATTTTCTACTGGCCTTCAAATTGATAACCTATACCGCCTATAAATTTTTACATTCCTTAACAGAGCTAACCATAGGAACTTCCAAATAATTTCTCAGAGGAAATGAGTCTTCAAAATCACACATGGCTCATAAGAGTTTTGTTTTTTTATGCCTTCTCAAAGGACCCAGACTGCTAGATTTTTATAACTGCTTTAACCAGATAGGCTTACCATAGGCTGGTAGTTCCCCATTAAAAGATATTTTTCTTTTACTTAGTAGTCACTTTCCTGTGTTCTAGAGCTTCCCTATGCTTTTAAAATACGCATTATCACAACAGTTCTCCCAAAAACAAAACCACCATAAGAGTTGCTGCACTCGGGGAGCCCTGAATGAACTCTAGAGCAGCGCCTGAGTCCTGCATTCTTTCTTCATTGTCCTTTTTGCTTGATTTGCCCATGGTGTACCATCGATCTTAAAATGGAGACAGACAGAAAGTACTCCACTTCACCTATTTAAGAAACATTTGCAATGTACTGTTTTACAAGTCTTTAATTAAAAAAACTCAACAAAAATATATAATTGAGCATTTTACATAATGCATACATTCTTAATATCTGCAGGTAAGATAACAGAAGGCAAAAGCAGACATACTGTATTGCTTCTTTGGCAACTCACCAATATCATCCCCTGCAGAAACAGAGAGTTTTTTTTTTTTTTTTAAATCCATGGTCTTAAAATAATTGTCCCTTAGTACAAACAACATATTTAGCAATAATACAGTAGACGGACTTTTCAAATTCACAACAATTTGTAATACTTCACAAGGGTAAACTAGTAAGCTGCTTTCTAAAATTAAGGCAGCAGCAGTGTTTAGAGGGGGAGTAATAAAAAAGACATCCTTTTTCTAGTTATATCCTGGCTCTGCCTTCTTTGTTGTTGTTTTTAAATAATGTCACATTCAAGCTCTATGTCTTGGATGACACTCCTAAGGATAATAAAATCCTTTCCCTGTATATAAACTGTGTTTCACCTCCAGGTCAGTCTGACACTCTCCAACAAAACCAAATACATTTTGTATGAGGCAACACAACTATTTTTTTTTGAGATGGAGTCTCGCTCTGTTGCCCAGGCTGGAGTGCAGAGTGTGATCTTGGCTCACTGCAACCTCCACCTCCTGGGTTCAAGCAATTCTCCTGCCTCAGCCTCCCAAGTAGCTGGGACTACAGGTGCGTACTACCACGCCTGGCCAATTTTGTTTTTTGTATTTTTAGTAGAGACAGAGTTTTGTCATGTTTGCCTGGCTGCTCTCAAACTGCTGACCTCAGGTGATCTGCCCGCCTCAGCCTCCCAAACTGATGGGATTATAAGCATGAGCTGCCACACCTCACCCAATTCAACTTTCTTAAGACAATGTTTACTATCTAACTCAGTGTCCCAGAATTTAAAAATTCCTTATGCTTTACAGCAAAGATACATATTGTGGCTCTACTGAAGCAATATATACATGTCAGAACTAAAAATCAGAAAAGCAAAAGGGTCCAGGGTCCACTCAACATATAGCAGCTTATATCTAAATATATACATGTATGTATATGTTTTCACAGTTAAATCTTTTAAAAAGTTTATTTTTGATATGTTCAGAAATATTTCTATTATCTATAAATAATATTTTAAAAGCTCCACTGATCAAAATGCAGTACAAGAACATATCAAATTAAATAAATCTCCTATGTCTTTAAAAACAGATAATTGAAGTCAGTAAAGCTTGAGGTTTGTGTTAAGTGTATTCTGTCAGTCCCTACTACTAGGGAAGGCAGAATCTTCTAAATACGATAGGAGAGAAACTCCAAAAGCTTGGAAGGAACTGGCAGCTCCTGGACTTCTTGGGTGGGCATCACTCTTCGGATTGACATGCGACATAAATGTTGCAGGCTAGGGACCTGCCGTGGAGTGGCCCAAAAATACACACTTCCGTCATGTGTCCTAAACAGAAACAAAGCACATGGTTAGTCACCCAGGTATATGTATTTCAATGTCGCTACAGCTCAAACAACTATCATCCAATACATGTGAGTACTGGAGTCACAAACTTCACATTAAAACCCAACTAGGAAGAACTAACCAATGATGTATTCTATTACAAGGTAACACTACTATATAAGAACACTTATTAGAATTTTACTAACAATAAACTACTAGCTGCTAAAAGCCACCTTAAGTTGCCCCTTAAAGAAAGCCAGGTGTGGTGGCTCAAGCCTGTAATCCCAGCACTGTGGGAAGCTGAGGCGGGAAGATCACTTGAGGTCAGGGTCAGGAGTTTGAGACCAGCCAGGCCAACATGGTGAAACCCCAACTCTACTGGAAAAACAAACAAACAAATAAGCCAGGAGTGGTGGTGTGCACCTGTAGTCCCAGCTACGCGGGAGGCTGAGGCAAGAGAATCTCCTTGAACTGGGAGGTGGAGGCTACAGTGAGCAGAGATTGCACCATTGTATTCCAGCCTGGGGAACTTCATCTCAAAAAAAAAAAAAAGAGAAAAATATATTTACCCAGCAGCTAAAACACTGCCATCAGTAGAGAAGGCACAGCAAAGACCATTGCTCAAAGGTGCAACTTGCACTGGATAATCCTCATCAATTCTCCAGAACCTCACCATTCTGAAAACAAAATAAATTATTTAGTTATCTTGTAGAAAATGTAAGGTAAAAGCAACTTTTTTAAAATTTAGAAACACCATTGAGTTATGAGTCACAAAATACACAAATCACACCAACAGGCAATTATTGTAACTTGATTTATACAATTATAAAATATTTTAAGGTCTATAATACCAGTTGGTAAACTGGATAAACTTTCACTTAAGAGACTACAATGCATGGTTGCCTTTCCTCCTTCCCAGTGTTCAAACCTAGAATGTTCACACCTGGAAGCTTTCTCCTTACTTTCCTACACTTACAATACAATCAACTTCTAGTCTGTTTCACCCTTTTCCCAAGACATTTTTAAAAGCTAGGTGGGCCTGGTAGCTCACAACCATAATCCCACACACTTTGGGAGGCTGAAGTGCGTGGACTGCTTGAGCCCAGGACTTTAAGACCAGCTTGGGCAACATCGGGAGCCTGTGTCTCCACAAAAAATTTTTTAAAAAATTAGCCAGGTGTGGTAGTGTACCCCTGTGGTGCAAGCTACTCGGAAGGCTGAGGTGGGAGGATCACCTGAGCCCAGAAAATCAAGGTTGTGGTGAGATGTGATTTGTCACTGCACTATAGCCTGGGCAACGAGGCAAGACCCTGTCTCCAAAAAACAAACAAACAAAAAAGGAAAGGAAAAAAAGCTTTTCACCTAGGCTGAATGTGTCTACAAATACAGCAGAGAACTAATATGCAGAATCTATCTGAGCAAACAGGAAAACAATGGCTGCGGACAAACAAAAAAAAAAACCTCTCTCCATATGTTTGCTAATATTCTGGAAAAAGAAGAGTTGCCTTATGAATTGATGTTACCAAACTACTCAATGCTATATGCATGAACACTGTAATGATAAAAGGATGTGAAAATGAGATGATTGCAACTAGTTTCTGCTTCTTACCAATAAGCAGCACATCTCATTCACGTGATATTTCACATTCTAGTCTCAATCGTGGTGGATACAAATTATTATTTATTTGTAATTCTTTTGGTTTTATTATTTGTTTCACTTTAGAAATTTCCTTCTGCTTCAACCTTTAAGACATTACTTTAAAAAATCTCTATAAGCTGGGCTAAAAGCTGAGTAAAAATCAACCCACTATGCCTAAACAAGTTAAACAAGAAACACAGGGAGAGGCATGCATTATCTTTAGTTTACACAGATAATTGTTCTGGCTGATATTCTTTAAGACACAACAAAATCTCCCAGGGGCTCATGTTGAGGAAGAGATATTAAAACTCTTAACTGCAGAAAGGCTTTAAGGCTTAAGAATGTAAAAGGTAAAGGTAAGTCAGTCAAGCTATAATGCACATACTTACTTATCATCAGCAAGGCTTGCAATATGCAGTCCATCATGGCTAAAAGATACAGATCGTACCCACCGGTCATTTGCTCCTCCAGCAAATATTGGAGTAGGTGGGGGAAACAGGTGCCTGAGGTCAAATACATGTTTTCAGTGGATATCAGTCACTTCAAGAAAACAAAATTACCCAGGTACAAAGTATATCTGTCTTTGAATAGTGTTTAAAGTAGCCTTAGTTAATATAACTGAGAAGACTGAGTAGAAATGATACATCCAAATTAAAAGTCACCTGAAAAGAATTAGTATTTTATGGCCGGGGACAATGGCTCATGCCTGTAATCCCAACACTTTGGGAGGCCGAGGCAGGTGGATCACGAGTTCAAGAGATTGAGACCATCCTGGCCAACATGGTGAGACCGTCTCTACTAAAAATACAAAAATTAGCTAGGTGTTGTGGCGGGCGCCTGTAGTCCCAGCTACTCAGGAGGCTGAGGCAGGAGAACTGCTTGAACCCAGGAGGTGGAGGTTGCAGTGAGCCGAGATCGCGCCACTGCACTCTAGCCCGGCGACAGAGCAAGACTCTGTCTCAAAAAAAATTAAAAAAAAAATATATATATTTATATATATATATATTTTATGATTTAGGATAGTAAGATTAAGTCCAACTTTGGTTTTAACTGTTTTTCTCCAACAAAAACTCTAAACATAATTAGTACTTCTATAGATAGCTGGGTACTGTTAAGCAGCAAGACTTGTATCAAGACAGCCAAATTTACTTTTAGAATTTATGTCTAAAGCTTTCCATTAGTCAAGGGCTTAAATAATACCAACATTTTAAATTACAATAGACTGTAATTTTAGGTTTCATATGTTGGTGATTCTAATTAAATTATTCACATAACTTGATGAGCAGAGATGAATTATAGACTAAAATAATTCATGTTGTACCCACCCAAATTCCATCAGAATGTCTCCATTATGTGGATCCCAGATATATACTCGAGTATCATAAGATGCAGTAGCCAGTAATGCTCCATCAGGAGAAAAGTCACAAGCTACCACATCATGGTGATGTCCTTCTAGTTTCCGTATCATGGTGTATTTATCCATATTCCAAAGGAAAACCTGCAATAAAAAGGCAAATGTTATAGCTTCATTCAGACACACAGAGGACAAAATGGCACATCTTAAACTAAAACTGCTAAATTTAATTAAGATTATATTAAGCATTATAAATTATGAGTAATTTAAAGAATACGCTCAGTGTCATAGTCAGATTAAAATCAGTCTTTAAGTTAATTAAGGCAGACATGCAAATTCTATTTCAAATGTTTCTGTTAAATGTTAATTTAAAAATAAGCCTAAACATAAAATAAAGGCAATGCAATTTAACCACAAAGCTATACTGAAATCCATTTATTCCAAAAACTAATTAACTAAAATATACGGAAATAAATAGGGTTAAGTACTACAAACCCCCTTCTCTTTTTTTCCAGAAACTACCAGATTTTTAAAAAAATATACAGACAGAAAACGTAAGGTTAACAAATTGTTACTCCATTGGCATCTCCCTTTGAGATAATCACTTGTTTACAATAGGCTTGGGTCACCAACTTGAGCCTAGGAAGAGAAACAGATACTGCAAGCAAATAGAATATTCACAGCCAAATGAAATTTCTTTGGCAAACAACAAGGATGTTAAACCACATTACAAAACGAAAATGCTATTTTATGAAAATAATACAATTACATTTCAATAAATCAAAATTTAACCATCTTATTTTTCCCAAACTGACCACAATCATAAGTCATTTGAAGTATAAAACGGTTCAATTATTTAAGAATAAGTTCACATACAATTTTAGATTCTAAAGATCAGTAGTTAACTGTGCAGAACAGCTCTAAATAGGATTCTAATGTTTACTTCAGTCTGTTATATTAAATGTGAGCTTGGAGGTTTATCCTAATAAGACAATATCTCCTCTTGGAGTAAAGCAATCCTTTTGGCTTTTTTTTTTTTTTTTTCTGCACAGACATAATACATTATTTCTAAAAGAAAATAAGTACAAATTTTAAATTGAATCAAAGATGTAAGGTATCTCTGGAATTTTAAAGAATTCCAAAAAACAGCACAGAGAAACCATTTGAAAGCCAAACACTTTATATTAAATTGGTTTCACTTGTCAGACTCCCAAATCCATAAAACTGGAAAATCAATTTACTCAGGAGTCAGTGAATTTTACTGTGGGGAAAATTACTTTAAAAAAGAAAAAAGAAAGAAAGAAAAGCAGAAAGTGGACATCGACCAGCACCTGTGTACGTACAGTACACCTTGCAGCCGAATGCAAGGTTACTTCATCCTATGGTAAAGGTCGCCCCCAGCCCGGTAGCCAGAGATGCCACTCTTTCTGCCCAGCTAACACCATTGTGCGCCTGTGTGCGAGTGGTGCCAGCATAACCTCAATCACACCAATATTGCTGCCACCACCTGTGACAGGGAAAGCAAGAAGCATATGGAAAACACACAGCCTAAAATAGCAATGTCAACATCTAATTTTGTTCTTCTTATGATTTGTAAAGAACTAAACTAAGTATCTTGTTTTAAACTTCCAACATTTATAACTATCATTTTAACATACTCCTTGGGTAAATAAAATGTATTTCAACTAGTCTCCCACCCTCCATTAATTCAAAGTGTATTGTAATTATCACATGTATTTGGACTTCAACCATTTTATAAATATTTTTAGCTACTGAGATCAATTTAACTACACTAACTTAGAAATGGTAAACAACTAAAAGAGTTCATCAATAAGCATAACCCTCTTAACAGTCACTTTACTTAAGCTGTCTACAGGTATGCTATATAAGACAAACAGTATCAAATTTCACCTATAACTTAACTCTAGGACATACATGAGTGCTATTTTTATATTATTTTAAGTTACTTTTTTTCAGTTAAATGTACAGGACCAGCTGGGACTCAAAACTTTAAAAACAGCAAACTGGACCAAAAAAATAGAACAACAGAGAAGAAAATAATTAGCAAGGGAATGTCTTAACATATAGACTAGATTTCTTCTACAGCACATAAACTTTTCTAGACTTACAAAAAAAAAAAAAAAACACAAACAAAAAAGAAAACCCTAATATGCCCCTCATTTTCTATTATCTCTAAAAACAATCCAACTTCTCACTTGGCAATCAATAACTATATTTAATTTCCTTCATGCAAATTCTCCCCCATCATGAAATAAAACATTTAAAATATTCATGACACCGAGCACAAACTTCATAGGTTACTTAGATTTAAAATGATTATGCACACATTATCATAATCCAATTCACAGTTAATGTACAAGAACTTTGACACATACTGCTTTACTGGCTCCGACTGAACACAGCATAGAAGAGTCAGGAGAGAATGCACAGCTGTACACCCAATTCTGATGCCCCCTCAATACTTTCATCATGTTTCCTGAACAAAAGAAACAATCTGTATTAACCCTAGAATCCACTTCAAATGAGCAGTATTTCAAAACAGCAGTAAATCAAAGGATCACAAACATTTATAGCTGAAAGTAATTTATCTGTAACAAGGGTTACTGACATACACCAGCTGCTTATTTTAAATTTTACTGGAACACAATCCTGTCCATGTGTTTACATTGTGCTCTACAGCAGACAGCATGGTTCACAAGCCTCAAATATTTAACATCTAGCACTTCAAAAAGTAGTCTGGGGCCTGGTGCGATGGCTCTTGTCTGTAATTCCAACACTTTGGGAGGCTGAGGTGGGTGGATCGCTTGAGGCCAGGAGTTCAAGACTAGTCTGGCCAACAGGGTGAAACTCATCTCTACTAAAAAAAACATTTAAAAAATTAGCCAGGCATGGTGGCGCATGCCGGTAATCCTAGCTACTTGGGAAGTTGAGGCACAAGAATTACTTGAACCTGGGAGGCAGAGGCTGCAGTGAGCTGAGATGGCACCATAGAACTCCAGCCTAAGTGACAGAAAAAGTCTGGGACACCCTAGCCCCACCCCATCTACAGAAGACCAAATTTTTAGTTCAATCCCCTTATTTTAAAAGTTAAGAAACTTGACCATCTTCAAAATGCCTTTTCATTCTTCCTTTTTGAAAACCTACAACCCACTCCAAAGTCCTTGTGTATTATGCCCACAGCACACAGCTGTGCTTAAGTATACTGAACTCTTAGTTTTACAAAAACTTACTGAGTGCCTATGCATGCCAGGCCCTATGCCGGCACTGAGGATATAGATGGAAATAAGGCAAGGGTCCCACTATCTTGGAGCTTATATTTTACTAAGCCTATGTTCTTAAAACATGTACATTGCTGAAATTAGTTTGAGATAAGCAAGCATCATTCGATATGCAAAATAAAATAAAAATTATTAAAATATTTCAATTGTTGGGATCCCTTTGCACCTCAACGGCTGAGCAGATAAAACGCAGAGAAGGTCCTTCATGACTTGTTAATGTTAGCATAGTACTTTATTAAGGAATGGTTACTATTTATCAGCTGGAACATTTCCAGATCTGAGGGTTTTGTTTCCTACTAATTCAATTAAAGCTTTATTACCCCTAGGCAAGCCTGTTAACCTCTAGCTTGAGGCTGTTAGAGCACCAACAGACCTTAAATTTAAGGTTTTAGCTAAACATATAAACTCTTTCATTAGGGACTAAGAAAGGGGAAGAGATGCTCATCTCAAATGAGGTAGCATCTGCAAAACTTTGTAAGGCTTAGAGGAAGGTGAGTACTTGACACCAACATATCTTTCTATTGTATTGGACAGTAAATCTTTCACTTTTTATAAAAGTATTTCTTAACCTAGCCAATTTATTATAATGCTTACTAATATTTACATATTATGAATTCTGGCATGTAGGTCATGTTTTAATTTAAATTTTATTAGATACTAAGTTACTTCAAGATCTACCTAAATTTTCCCTAGGCCAATGCAATAAGTTAATAACCCTCCCTAAGGGGACATAAACAGACTGGTTCCATAAAACCCTAAATCTGATCCATATTTGGTCCTCAGATAGTTGATACAGATCTATGAGTTTCTGAATAATATCAGATCATTTACTTCGAATAACTGTTGGCTCCTATTCTGGGTCACATTTATGTTTTTCTTTGATCTATTCAGGAAAGGAGCCAAAATGTTAGGCAGAGAAAAGGAACTGTGATCACATGCCATTTTTAAAGTCAAATGCCCCAAATGTTCCCAATACCTCTCAATAGTAATATCAAGAAACGAATCCTAGTTCATAGCTTGGAAAAAAAGACATACCATCATCTTTCAGGTCCCACACTCTGAGAGTTTTGTCTCTTGAAGCTGACACCAGGATCAAGCTTCCATCTGGAGCAAAAGTTAAATCTCTGACCACTTCAGTATGATCTACCAAGTTAAGGAGGAGTTTTCCTAAATATGATAGAAAAGAGAGAAAAAAGACAGTATTAATATGTTTTTGTTTTGTTCTTATTTTTCTTGAGACAGGGTCTCACTCTGTCACTCAGGCTGGAGTGCAATGGCACAATCTTGGCTCACTACAGCCTCAACCTCCTAGGTTCAAGCAATTCCCCTACCTCAGCCCCCGAAATAGTTGGAACTATAGTTACAAGTCACCATGGCTCGCTTTTTTTTTTTTTTTTGTAGTGATGGAGTCTCACCATGTTGCCCAGGCTGGTCTAGAACTCCTGGGCTCAAGTGATCCCCCAGTTTTGGCCTCCCAAAGTGCTGGAATTACAGGCATGAACTTTAAAATATAAAATCAAATTATTTCTTTGCTTGTTATTTCCCTGGCCTAGGAAAGTTAAGCTCCCCAAAAGATACATGTTATCCCACAACAACTTTAGTTTTCAAACATGATCCCAGTGAAAAAAATGTATTTAAATAATACCGTAAGAGCTTTGTTTTCTAAGAAAATCTATGTGTTCATCTTACTTTTTTCAAGAACCCAGATTTTGACTCATTATCACCTATGTTAGTATTACTTGTTATGTTCTAATGTACATGTTGTTTTAATGATTCTTTAAAAATCCTTTACATTTTTGAGGAATATTATATGCCAGAAAGTGTTTTAGGCAATAAGCAACACATTGATTTTTAGTTGCCCAAAGAATTTAACTTCTCAACCTATCTAAACTTTCACTAAACCTTTCCAAGTTGAGATAATGATTGTTGAAATCTGATTTACCTTGAAAACCTCTAAGCTATTAATCATTGAAAAAGTACAAAGAAAACACCTTGACATGTGAGTCATTAACTAAGTAACTAGGTTATAAAGGACAACTAATTAAACATTCCCTAGAAAAGCCTTTCCTACTATACTACTCTCTAAAGAGTGATGAAGCAATATGAACTCTATCATTTTCCTAAATTAAAATGATGAGCTGAAGAAGGTGATATTCAGGTCAATTATAAAGACACACTTATGCCATCAATTCTTGCTTTTCAGTAAGCTGAAATCCTCAAATCCTAATTCCAGTGCCTATGAGTAGTGCCCTGCATCACAAAATAATACATTTGCTTTAAAAACTATGAATCCATACCTGTATATACATCCCATATTTTGATACGCCCATTGTTCAACCCTGTAGCAAGAAGTAGCTGATCTTGTCCAAATCTGAAGCGATGCCATTCTATATTTACACAGCGACTCTGTTTTTCTGGAACTGACGACCCAAAAGCAAGACTCCAGACTATATCTCCACAGTCTATAATATGTTCACGAGGCTTATTTTTCTGACCACCATCACTATTTTGTCTTGGCAATCTTAAACTGCTTGAATTGGTAACATTCTTGGTGCCATGCAAGAGACTGGGGTGGGGGAAGTCAGATGGAAATTGTATTATTATTCACTCTGGACTCCTCTGGACATTGAATAATTACAACTGTTTGTTAAAATAACCTCAATGTTATTATAATGACACCGAATAACAATAGAATCCTATAGATAGGAAGGGAAAGGTTGACATTTGAACTACGAGAGAAGGACCGAATAAATTCAGGTCATTAATAGAAATTCTCAGTGACTGAGTAGTAAATTCAACAATAAAGCAATTTATATTATAACTTATTTGCCTCCCAAAATTTCCTCAAAACCACCGTATCAACTGGTGCTCCCTTCAACCTAAAAACACAAATATAAATAAGCAAAAACCAACCAAACAAACAAAAAAAACCCAGTAACTTAAGATATGGTCAAGCTGATACCAGAAAATTGCCTTAAGGGAGAAAAAAAAATCCTCAAACCATGACCAGTTTCCCATAGGTTCTAGACCTCAAGTAATACATAATGAGAACATTAGTCACTATAACCATGAAGGTCTACTAGATACAAAAAAAAACAGGGAAAGATCCAATATAGCATATTATACATTTTAGAAAAACATTCAACAAACATCCAAACTCAATTTACCCCAAGCAGAGGGACCATAAGTCCATTAAAAACAAAAACAACAACAACAAAAGCCCAGGCTCGGTGGCTCACGCCTGTAATCCTAGCACTTTGGGAGGCCGAGAAGGGTGGATCACCTGAAGTCAGGAGTTTGAGACCAGCCTGGCCAAAATGGTGAAACCCCTGTTTCTACTACTACGCATCAGAGTTATCCAACAACATGTTGTAAAATCCAAGCGAATCCAAAAAGCTTCACATCACAGAAGTCACCTGCTCTGGCATACCACTATATATATGCATTTGTTAGACACAATCTGACTTTAATGTACAGAAAAACTTAATGTATAAATAAGATCAGACAATTCTTTTTTTTTTTTTTTTTTTGAGAAAGAGTTTGGCTCTGTCACCCAGGCTGGAATGCAGTGGTGCTATCTCGACTCACTGCAACCTCCGACTCCTGGGTTCAAGGAATTCTTCTGCCTCAGCCTCCTGAGTAGCTGGGACTACAGGTGTGCCACACCATGCCCAGCTAGTCTTTGTATTTTCAGTAGAGATGGGGTTTCACCATATTGGCCAGGCTGGTCTCAAACTCCCGACCTCAAGTGATCTGCCTGCGTTGGCCTCCCAAAGTGCTGGGATTACCGGCCTGAGCCACTGCCCCTGGCCCAAAGAATACTTTACACAAAATTTCCAATAAATATATTCAGCCCATGACTAAAACTCACAACACCATCTATAAAGTAAAACTTAAATATCAAAATGTTTTTATTACCCTACACTGAGAGAAAATAGTAAATTCCACAAACAGATACAAAATACAGAAAAGAAAAAGTCTTACAAGTTCTGAAGGCACTGGGACCACGGAACAAGTTTTACTGTGCGATGTCCTTGTGACCAAGCAAAGTATGAACCATCTGGAGCAAAAGCAACAGTCCAATTTTCACGACCACATTTCTTGTCAAAAGGAGCTGCAGGAGCTAAAAGTTCACCTATAGTACGTGATCTCACTAAAAGGAAAAATAAAAATACTTGATATCATATATAACCAACAATACATGTGAGACTGCTTCCATATGACTTTGGGATTGAGTTTCTTCCCTCTTCTATGCAAAGTATAATGAGTTCTGCATTCCATCCTCTAACTGGGGGTATGCAGTATATGAAGACTCCTTAATGATAATGACTATCTCCAAGTTTTGATAAAGTGATTTCCCTAAAATTTCCCAATACAAGAGTTTTTTAAAAAGTTTCAGTAAAAAAAACTGGTCAAGTAATAATAATGTGATGACCAATTAGACTTAACAATTATAAAAGTCCTAACTTTTGCATTGTATTATGTTCTCATCAAATTATTAACATTTAAAATGCAAGAAATTAAACTTAGTTGGCAAGAAAAGTATCTTCCAAATTAAATTTCTTGGCTTTCAAAAACTATACCTCACTATAAAATACAATATTACACCATTACTCAAAGGAAAGCACTATAAAATATGCTATCCAAACAAATATCTGTATCCTTTTCAGGCCCAGGTCATAAAAATCACAAAACCCTCAGAACTAGAAGAGACTTAAAGGTTGTCTAGTCTAACCAGTGCTTTAGAAATGCATTATAGGCCGGGTGTAGTTGCTTACACCTGTAATCCCAACATTTTGGGAGGCTGAGACAGGTGGATCACTTGAGGTCTGGAGTTCGAGACCAGCCTGGTCAACATGGTGAAACCCTGTCTCTACTAAAAATACAAAAATCAGCTGGGCGTGGTGGTGGGCACCTGTAATCCCAGGATGAGGTAAGAGAATTGCCTGAACCCAGGAGGCGGAGGTTGCAATAAGCCGAGAAAGTGCCACTGTACTCCAGCCTGGGTGAAGTGAGACTCTGTCTCAAAAAGAAAAAAGCTAAAATAAAAGAAAATGCATTATAGCTGGGCATGGTGGTATGCTGGAGCATGCGTGTAATACCAGCTTCTTGGAAGGCTGCGGCATAAGAACTGCTTGAACCTTGGAGGTGGAGATTGCAGTGAGCCAAGACTGCATCACTGCACTCCAGACTGGGTGACAGAGGAAGACTCTGTCATTAAAAAAAAAAAAAAAAAAAAAAAGAAATAAAACCAAAATGCATTATATTTGTGATTCTCAAATAGTGGTCCTTAAGAGTCTTCCTAATGGGCCTTACACTGACTCAAAAATGGAGTTATTTTGTTTTTTAAGGACAAAAAATGGACAATTTTAAATTCAGATTACTAAAATTTTGTATTCCTAACAAAAATTGGCATATTACCAGAGTATATGGAGAATACTACTTCCATATTTAACAAGCATGATCAACAAGCTCATACTGCAATGTATGCATGCAAACTCAGTTAGAATTTCCTCAATTTGGGGAAAGGAGCTTCTTTATTAGTGTATCACCTATTTTGGGTTGGTCTTAATTTTCCCTATTATCTATTTTGTGGTCAGTTGTCTGGTCAATTGTACAGTGTATAATAATATATTTTTATGTATTTCTGGTTTAAACTTTCCAACACCTAACCTTTAATATAGTCTATGTATTGCTGTTCATGTAAGAACCACTAACACTGCTATAGTTAGAGAACCTGGACATGGACACATACATACATACACATACACATACACACACACCCCCCCCCCCAAAACGTACTTGTTCAGTTTGAATGTATGCTCCGACAATAGCTAGTATAGCACCTGGCATATGACAGGTGCTCAGTAAATATTTATTGAATGAATATGAAAGCACACATTTATGCTCCCATTCTACAGTGATTTAAATATATTATCTGCCCAACTCTTGCCACCTTAACAAATAGGTGTGGTTTTTATGATATTCATAATTAGGCTTACACTATTTTGGTGCAACTGAGACGGTCTTTTAATGACTCAAAGTCTTCCTCCTACCACTCTACCCACTCAGTACTGATTCTGACCTAAGAGAATAAGCCTACTGCTATCCTCATAACATTTATATATTGAAGATAGCCATGAATGAAATCTTTTTACCAGGCTAAAAGATCTCTATCCTTCCAATCATACCTTAGATCACATGGTTTCAGGTCCATTTCCCATCCTAACTTCATCATACCTTTCTGGATAAATTCTAGTTAGTAGTGGCCCTCATCAAAGTGGCACCCAGAACTAACCACAATACTTCAGGTGTGGTTTAATCAAAGCTGCAGAGTCCCTCACCCACCCGCCCACTCCGTATTAGCACAGCTTAAGATGACATTAACTTTACTGGCAGTCACATAACTTTCTGTTTTCTTGAGTCAGGGTCTCACTCTGTCACCCAAGCTGGAGTGCAGTAGCACAATAATGGGGCACTGTAGCCTCGACCTCCCAGGCTCAGGCGATCCTCCTGCCTCTGCCTCCCAAGCAGCTGCATCCACAGACATGCACCACCACTCCCAGTTAATGTTTTTATTTTTGTAGAGGTAGGTTCTCCCTTTGTTGCCCAGGCTGTCTCAAACTCCTGGGCTCAAGTGATCTTCCCACCTTCAGCCTCCCAAAGTACTGGGATTACAGGTGTGACCCACATAACTTTCTTAATACAAAATTGACAAACTTAGTGACCCTCAAATGCCTGCAGATACTTTTAACATACAAATGATTTCAGAAACAGCATGCTGCTCAGGTTTCCTTACATTTTTCCAAACCCACAGCCTTATTTGTTCCTTTTACCAGGGTTCTTTATATGCCTGGCCTCTGAATTTGCAACCCCTGCCTGCCTAATTTTTTTAGGCAGGGTCTTGCTCTGTTGCCAAGGCTGGAGTGCAGAGGCAAACTCGTAGGCTTAAATGATCCTCCTGCCTCAACCTCCTGAGTAGCTATAGCAGGGACTACGGGCACATGCCCCCACACTTGGCTAACTTAAAAAAACAAAAACAAACTTTTTTCCCTTTTTTTAAGACAGAGTCTTGCTCTGTCACCCAGGATGGAGTACAACGGCTTGATCTTGGCTCACTGTAACCTTCGCCTCTTGGGTTCAAGCAATTCTCCTGCCTCAGCCTCCCAAGTAGCTGGGATTACAGGTATGCACCACCACGCCCTAATTGTTATTATTACTTTTTGTATTTTTAGTAGAGACAGGGTTTCATCATGTTGGTCAGGCTGGTCTTGAACTACTGATCTCGTGATCCACCTGCCTCAGCCTTCCAAAGTGCTCGGATTACAGGTATGAGCCACCGCACCTGGCAAAAAACCAATTTTTTATAGATAGGGTCTTGCTATGTTGCCCAGACTGGTCTCCAGCTTCTGGCCTCAAGCGATCCTCCCATCTTGGTTTCCCAAAGCGGGGAGATTAAGGCACGAGTCACTGCATCAGGCATATTTTTTTTTAACTTGGATTCCTGTTTAACCACATCTATCTTTTAAAACTCATAAATTTTAGGAGGGAAAAAAAATGCTAAGTTCACATATAAGGGAAGCAAGTTTAAAATTCAACTTAAAAGTCTCTACAGAGAATATTTATGTAAACTTGTATACGATGAGGAACAGCCCTTGCATTCGATTTCAAGAACATCCAGTAAATGAGACTAAAATTAAGCTCTCCCTTAGCAAGCATAAGAGAGACTAACTTTCTCATGCAAGATTTTCTTTCTTTTTTTTTTTTTTGAGACAGAGGCTCACTCTGTTGCCCAGGCTGGAGTGTAGTGGCATGATCTCTGCTCACTGCAACCTCCGCTTCCCGGATTCAAGCAATTCTCCCTGCCTCAGCCTCCCGAGTAGCTGAGATCATAGGTATGTACCATCATGGTGCCCACCACCACGCCCAGCTAATTTTTGTATATTTTGGTAGAGATGGAGTTTCACCATGTTGGCCAGGCTGGTCTTGAACTCCTGACCTCAGGTGATCTGCCCGCCTCAGCCTCCCAAAGTGCTGGGATTACAGGCATGAGCCACCGTGCCTGGTCTAGATTGTATTTTAAGGTTACTCTATATTTTTCTTCTACCTTGACCACAATCATGGAACGCCTTGTGTACAGTGGTAATAGGACAGGCATACTGGTAATCCCAACACTCTGGCAGGCCAAGGTGAATGGATCACTTGAGCCCATGAGTTTGAGACCAGCCTAGGATATATAGAGTACCTCGTCTCTACAAAAAATTTTAAAAATTAACAAGTGTGATGGCATGCACCTGTAGCCCAGGCTGAGGTGGCAGAATTGCTTGAGCCCAGGAGGCAGAGGTTGCAGAGAGCCAAGATTTCACCACCACACTCCAGCTTGGGTGACAGAGCAAGACTCTGTCTCAAAAAAAAAAAAAAAAAAGAGTAGGCCGGAGGCAGTGGCTCACGCCTGTAATCCCAGCACTTTGGGAGGCCGAGGAGGGTGGATCACCTGAGGTCAGGAGTTTCAGACCAGCTTGGCCAACACGGTGAACCCCCCCTCCCCCCGTCTGTACTAAAAATACAAAAAATAAGCCGGGTGTGGTGGCATGAACCTGTAATCCCAGCTACTCAGGAGGGCAAGGCAGGAAAATCACTTGATCCTGAGAGGTGGAGGTTGCAGTAAGCTGAGATTGCACTACTGCACTCCAGCCTGGACGACAGAGCGAGACTCAGTCTCCAAAGGAAAAAAAAAAAAAAAAAAGCAAAAGAGCGGTAACAATTACTAAAAAATTGGTTCGGATAGCAGAGACAATGAAATAACAACATATTGATAATGTAATTCTCAAATATATACAAACTCAAGAAATAGAGCCATTATAAAACCTACCAAATAAATGCATTAATCTGTTAAAAATTACTAATAATTGTCTTGATTGTGTTTCTTTGCTGGCTAACAGGTATATCAAATTGCCTTTGGCACTTTAATAAAACGTTTTAAGTGCTCAATTTAAATACTGGCACAATTTTATAAACCTAGCACAAAGTTTGTAATACAGTGCTTTGAAAAAAAATTTTTAAGTTAAACTTTTATTACATTATCTGTAATTGTTTAAGGTTAGCTACAGAAATGTATGATTTAATGACCTTGTTAAGGGAAAGGCTGCCTGCCACGGGAAATCAGCCATAAGATACAACACTACATTATTAATATCTGTAAAATAATAACATATCATCTGAGTCACTGCTGAACCAAGCAAATCAGATTTAGCTCCTTCTTTACATTCCTCCCCAAAATTTCATAACCAGAAAGGGATGATCTATGGCTGTGCCTTGCGAAAGAGGGCAGTAGCATCATACAGAATTATTTGATCATTCATGGAATCTTGCCTCTACTCTCTGTATGTCCTCGAGAAATTAAACTTGGCTTGGCTTTTAATTAACACCCAAGAAAAGAAAAAACGTAAATCCTTAATCATAGATTTAAAAAGCTACACAGGAGAAATGTTTAACCTTGTACTAGTAACTTTTTATACCATATCCAGGAAATAACACTGGGACTTAAATATGAAAAAAAAAAAAGAAAGAAAGAAAAAAGAAAAGAAAAGAAAACCAGGGGCTGGCGGGGGAACACTTAGTGGATGGTTCTACTTTATGTAGGTATGCTATCCATCTCTTAGAAAACAGAACCGGAAATCCGGGCGCGGTGGCTCAAGTCTGTAATCCTAGCACTTTGGGAGGCAGAGGCGGGCGGATCACCTGAGGTCGGGAGTTCGAGACCAGCCTGACCAACATGGAGAAACTAAAAACACAAAAATTAGCCGGGTGTGGAGGCGATGCCTGTAATCCCAACTACTCGGGAGGCTGAGGCAGGAGAATCGCTTGAACCCGGGAGGCGGAGGTCGCAGTGAGCCAAGATGGTGCACTCCAGCCTGGGCAACAAGAGCAAAAACTCCGTCTCAAAAGAAAAAACAAACAAATAAACAAAAAACAAGACCGGAAAGTTTTCAAAATGGTTTATCACGATGAAAGTAAAATACAGATTAAAAAAAAAGGCAGATCACTCATCTATAACATTATGGTGTAGTGAAGTAAGTAAAAGAAAAACCCACTGAACTGATAAGAACTTTTGAGTTCTTTGTCCCACTTCGCGATATACTTTCTAGTCTTAAAATACACTTAAAATAATAACTGGACACAAATTTTGTGTTCTTTGCATCCTTTTTTTCTTTTTTCTGTGTGAACTCTGCTGCAATTTTTTTCCTTTTTTTCTGCGTTTGTATCTTTAAAAATGGTTATTAAAACCAGGGTTAAAGTCCCTTCCTAATCAATCATCCCTAAGACAACAAAAGTCCAGAATTCTAAAACAGCTGTTTCTAGATATAAAAATTCACCCACATAGAAAAGAGTGGGCGTTTTGGCTACTTCAGCCTCTTTCCTTCTCTAGAAATAACTCCTCCTTGTACTTAGTAAAGGCACACATTCACTTCAAGAAAATGTAAATGCTCTCTGCTCAGTGGCCACAGCTAATTATTACTTAACAGAGTAAGATCAGTGTTTGCTGAGTGTGTCAGCCAATGTACAGCACCCCCAACACCATCAAACGTTGTTCCAGTTATTTTACTTTAAAAGATGATTTAAATAATGCGACGTGCATTATTTAACCACTAAGTAGGTGTGGACGCACAACCTTCAACACTAACTGCCCTTTACTCGGCCGGCCAGGGGTACACACTAAGCCAGAAAAGCCTTTCCAGAGTTTCCTCTTCCGCACAAAAGCTTTCCTTCAGTCACTCCACCCAACCGCCCAGCTCCTCCCTTATGTGTTTGAAAGATAATTCTGAAAGAGTCTCCTCCCCCGAACTGCTGCGTTTCTTAACGCCACAACATTTTTTAAAATACCGTATTACTTTTGCCAGGCTATTGGGACTTCTTCCGTCTCATTTCTCATCTAAGTGTGGTTGGTACACACGAGGACCCCCTCCTTTCGTTACCGCTCGGAATCCACAAGTTTACTTTTCCCCATTGTAAACCTAAATAAAGCCCCTGAGTGGCCCTTCCCTGTCCACTCGACAGTCAAGTCCTGAGCCAGGAACTCCCAGGACAAGAGCCCTGCGCAGACCTGAGCCAGGAACTCCCAGGACAAGAGCCCTGCGCAGACCTCCGACGAAGAAACCAGGGTCCGTGCCCGCCCCAGCCACACAGTAACCGCGAGAGAGCACAGTAGGTGGTGCATCCACGTCGGTGGCGTTTATCCGCCCCCTCCCACCCCCCCACCAACTCCTACCGAGGCGGCTTCCTCCTCCTCGCTCTTGGGCTGGCGCTGGCGCACCTCGGAGTCGCTTCCTCCCAAACCTCCTCCGAGGAGTCCCTGCCTTTCCCCGGCCCTCACGCGCCCACCCACAGTCCCAATCCTCACCGATCTCTTTCTCGTTGACCCTCGGGGGAAAGCTGGCCATCTATGGGGCACCGTCTGATTCCGGGAATACGATGCGGACCCAACGACAGAGAAGAGAGTGGCGAGCGCTGAGGGGCGTGACGAGGGGTTGGTCCCCCCCGGGCCGGGGCAGCGGAGACGGGCGGGGGCGGCCGCTGCGGCTTCTGCTAACTGCCCCGGGAAAGCTCCCGAAGGCCTCAGACCAAAGTACGGAGTCAAACACAGACAATAGACCCTGTACCCAGCCTCGCGCCTGCGGAACAAGTCAGTTCCCCCAACGCTGCCGACCGCAAACGAGACACTGAAGTCAAAATGGCGGGCGGCGCGGGAGATAACTGGGCGGCAGGGGCGCGGTCACGTGACGTCACAACCCGTGGCTCCGCCTCCCAACGCACGGGACGTGATCTCCCCGCCCGGCGCTAGCGCGCGGGTGTTACCTGGGGGCCTTGCAAGGGGAGATCCAGCCCAGGCTGGGTCCGCTGACTGCCTGTAAGCCTGTGGCGTCTTCTGGGCTTGGATGTCCGATATGGAGTTTATAAGCTGAAGTGCCTTTGAAAAGGGCAAGCAGAGAATTGTATTATTAGCCTTCTAGCTTAAAGATTGCATGGAACTTCAACTGGCTGAACGGAAAAGAACAAAAAGACATTTCAAGTTTTCACTCAGTTTGGCCAACTCCCCAGCCCACAAGTACTGGGGAACTGACGGATACACTGATGAAAAAGATAGGATTAAAATTAACATCGTTGTGCACCACCTGTCCAGCTACGATTGTTCGGACCTGAGCCAGCAGGTTTTAGGAAGGGCCGAGGGGAACGAGAAGGAGACTCTGGTGTGATCGCCCGCAACGCGCCGCGAGGCCTCCGTGGACCGCCTTTGTCGTGGCTGGTGCCTGCAGCCTGATGGGCTGTGTAGGTGCTGGTTGTCCTCAGAGTTCCGACCGCTGGCCAAGATAGATCCCACTGTGTCAGCTCAGAATTGGTACTTCCTGCACCTTACCTGAAGGCCTCTGGGAGGCACCTGGTTGTCTGCACATCAGACTGATCAATGTGTCAGTGTCTGCCAGATGCCAACTTGGTTCCTGGTCACAGATGACATATTTGTAATTTAATGGCTTCTTGTGTGAACCCTAAACATTGCAAAGGACTGGGGCGTATGAGACTGGTGTCTCATGTGTCCATGTGCAGATACCACCAAACAGGCTTTGTGTGAGCAACAAGGCTATTTCACCTGGATGCAGGCAGGCTGAGTCCGAAAAGAGTGTCAGCAAGGGTGGTGGGATTATCATGAGTTCTTATAGGTTTTGGGATAGGTGGTGGAGTTAAGAGCAAAGTTTCAGGGACAGGGGGTGGATCTCACAAAGTACATTCTCAAGGGTGGGGAGAATTACAAAGAACCTTCTTCAGCATGGGGGAGATTATAAAGAACTTAAGGGAAAGGGAGATTGCAAAAGTACATTGATCAGTTAGGGTGGGGCAGAAACAAATCACAATGGTGGAATGTCATCAGTTAAGGTTATTTTCACTTCTTTTGTCAATCTTCAGTTGCTTCAGGCCATCTGGATGTATCCGTGCAGGTCACTGGGCATATGATGGCTTAGCTTGGACTCAGAGGCCTGGCATTCCTGTCTTCTTATATTAATAAGAAAAATGAAACAAAATAGTGGTAAAGGGTTGGGGTGGTGAAAATTTTGGGGGGTGGTAAGGAGAGATAATGGGTGATGTTTCTCAGGGCTGCTTCAAGCGGGATTAGGGGCGATGTGGGAACCTAGAGTGGGAGAGATTAAGCTGAAGGAAGATTTTGGGGTAAGGGGTGATATCATGGGGTTGTTCGAAGGAGCATTCGTCATACAGAATTTTTGGTGATGGCCTGGATGTGGTTTTGTATTGTGTCCGGAATTGGTGGTTCTTGGTCTCTCACTGACTTCAAGAATGAAGCCGCAGACCCCTTGTGGTGAGTGTTACAGTTCTTAAAGATGGTGTGTCTGGAGTTTGTTCCTTCTGATGTCCGGACATGTTTGGAGTTTCTTCCTTCTGGTGGGTTTCTGGTCTTGCTGGCTTCAGGAGTGAAACTGCAGACCTTCGTGGTAAGCATTACAGCTCTTCAGGCGGCGCATCTGGTGATGTTTGTTCCTCTTGTCAGGAGTTGTTCATTCCTTCTGGTGGGTTCGTGGTCTCGCTGGCCTCAGGAGTGAAGCTGCAGACCTTTGCAGTGAGTGTTACAGCTCATAAAGGCAGCGTGGACCCAAAGAATGAGCAGCAGCCAGATTGATTGCAAAGAGCAAAAGAACAAAGCTTCCACAGTGTGGAAGAGGACAGCTGGCTGTCTCAAGGAGCCTGCTTTTATTCCCTTATCTGACCCCACCCACATCCTACTGATTGGTCCATTTTACAGAGGGCTGATTGGTCTATTTTACAGAGAGCTGATTGGTCCATTTTACAGAGAGCTGATTGGTCCGTTTGGACAGAGTGCTGATTGGTGTGTTTACAATCCTTTAGCTAGACACAGAGTGGTAGACAGAAAAGTTCTCCAAGTCCCCACTAGGTTAGCTAGATACAGAGTACCCATTAGTGTATTTACAAACCTTGAGCTAGACACAGAATACTGATTGGTGTATTTACAAACCCTAAGTTAGATACAGAGTGCTGATTGGTGCGTTTACCATCACTTAGCTAGACATAAAGGTTCTCCAAGTCCCCACTGGACTCAGGAGCCCAGCTGGCATCACCTAGTGGATCCCAGGCTAGGTCCGCCGGCGGAGCTGCCCACTAGTCCCTTGCCGTGCCTGCACTCCTCAGCCTTTGGGTGGCGGATGGGACCGGGCGCCATGGAGCAGGGGCATGCCAATCGGTGAGGCTCTGGCTGTGCGGGAGCCCGCAGCAGAGGTGGGAAGGCTCGGGCGTGGTGGGCTGCAGGTCCTGAACCCTGCCCTGCAGGGAGGCAGCTGAGGCCCGGTGAGAAGTGCCAACAGGCCGGCACTGCTGGGGGACCTAGTACACTCTCTGCAGCTGCTGGCCCAGGTGCTAAGCCCCTCACTGCCCGGGGCCAGTGGCACCAGCCAGCGCTCCAAGTGCAGGGCCCACAGAGCCCACGCCCACCCAGAACTTGTGCTGGCCCGTGAGCACTGTGCACAGCCCCAGTTCCAGAGGGAGCTGGCTCTGGCCTCAACCAGCCCAGAGAGAGGCTCCCAGAGTGCTGTGGCAGGCTGAAGGACTCCCCAAACACTGGCAGAGTGGACGCTGAGGCCAAGGAGGCACCGAAAGCGAGGGCTGCTAGCATGTTGTCACCTCTCAGTATGAACTGAGAAACTAAACGAAAGACACAAGATCCGAATAAGAGAAGGGAAAAAAAAATAGGTATTAAAGGACTAAGAATTGGGAGTACCCAGGACATCCAATTAGAGAGTGTCCAAGGGGGTTCAACATTATTGTTTGCTTGGTTGGAGCTTTTTTTGGGCTCCATCCTTGAGTTTTTTTATGTTGTCATATAACAGGTCAGACTGATTTAGGTAAAAACAACACTCTGTATTTAAAAACATACAGAGTCCTCTTTTTTTAGCAGTAAGTTGAGGCCTTGATGATTTTGGAGGAAAGAGAAATGGAAAGCTAGCAATTGTTTGTTAAAGAAGGATTAGGAACGGCTAGGAGAGAGTGACTGAGACTGATAGTGTGGTGGAGATGGCTGGGGAGAGGTAGAGGGTGGCATAAGAACGGGAACGAGAATAAGAGTAAGTATAAAAGTAAAGAATAGAACTTCATCAGGGTGAAAGTATTGGAGGGTACCTTGCACTGAAGATCTTCTACCCACTTTAAGAGAGACTTAAAAGTGGTGATTTAAGGTAAAAACAGGAGCCACTAAATACCAGGAGCCTGAGGAACTGCTTGGGTGATTTGACTAATAAAGGCTGGTCCGTTATTGGACTGTATAGAGGTGGGAAGGCTAAACCAAGGAATTATGTCTGACAAAAAGGGAAGAAATGACTGTGGTGGCCTTTTCAGACCACCCTTCTCAGATGGCCTCTACCCATGCAGTGAAAGTGTCTACCCAGACCAAAAAGTATTTTAGTTTCCTGACTCGAGGCATGTGAGTAAAGTCAATTTGCCAGTCCTGGGCAGGGGCAAATCCCTGAGCTTGATGTGTAAGGAAGGGAGGGGGCCTGAATAATCCCTAAGGAGTAGTAGAATAGCAGATGGAACACTGAGAAGTGATTTCCTTGAGGATAGATTTCCATGATGGAAAAGAAATGAGAGGCTCTAAGAGGCAGGTTAATGGCTTGTAAACTACATGGAAGAGGTTATGAAATGATGATAGAATAGAATGGGCCTGTGAGGCTGGAAGGAGATATTTTCCTTGGTCCAAGAACCATTTGCCTTGTGTGGGAAGAGATTGATAGGCGGACGTTTCAGTGGGGGAGTAGGTGGGAGTGACCAGATGAGAAGGAAAAAAACTGCTGTGAGGGATAGAAGTTGGAATGCTAGCTGCTTTTTTAGCTATCTTATCAGCATAAGCATTGCCCTGAGCGATGGGATCTGATGCCTTTTGATGGCCCTTGCAGTGTGTTACTCCAGCTTCCTTTGGAAGTAAAGTGGACTGGAGAAGAGTTTTGATTAAAGAGGAATTAATGACAGAGGACCCTTGCATAGTGAGGAAACCTTTCAGCCCATAAAACAGCATGGTGGTGCAGGATATGGGGTCAGTATAAATATTGACACGTAGTCCTTTTACAAGAATGGGGGCCTGAATTAAGCCAATGAGTTTGGCTTGCTGAGAGGTAGTGGAGGGGGGCAGAGCAGTAACTTCAATGATTGATGTGGAAAATACTATAGCATAGCCTGCCTTTGCTGGTGTGTGGTGATTAAGCTGGTGGAACTGCCATCAATAAACCAAGTGTGATCAGGGTGAGGAACAGGAAAGTAGGAAATATGGGGAAATGGGGTGAATGTCAGGTGTATCATAGAGATATAGTCATGGGGGTCAGGTGTGGTATCAGGAACAATGTGGGAGGCTGGATTGAAGTCCAGGCCAGGAACAATGGTAATTGTGGGAGACTCCACAAAGAGAATAACTGAAGGAGCCGGGGAGCAGAAAGTATATGTGTCAGGTATGAGGAAGAAAATAGATTTTGGAAGTTATGAGAGCTGTAGAGAGTGAGTTGAGCATAGTTTGTGATTTTGAGGGGCTCTAAAAGTATTAAGGCAGCAGCAGCCACCACACGCAGACATGAGGGCTAGGCTAAAACAGTAAGGTCAAGTTGTTTGGACAGAAAGGCTACAGGGCACGGTCCTGGCTCTTGTATAAGAACTCCAACTGCACAGCCCTGCACTTTGGCTGTGTGTAATGAAAACTGT